GGCTTATAATCAAAAGTGCCCCAGTAATAGCAAATTAGTCTTGTTACATGACCTCAGAATTGATGGCTTTAACAATTCATACAAGTCTTGTGTTATGCCCTTTAAAGTCTGTTTTGTGCCAGCTGGAGAAATAACCTTCAGGTCAGAGCTTTGTAAGTGATATTAAGAATTAAGCTGTCATCTTTCACCTTAGAAAGCAGGCTATATCATATCATAGCAATACAGTAGCTAGGTAGCTAGAGAGCTATACCAATGATACAATGTAAATAACTAGCTAACTGTACCCATAAATAGTGTTTAAAAATGGTGATAAACAAAGATAAGACTGAGCTAACTGTACAATTTATAACTTGTTTGACTGAAAATGACATCAACAAGTAAAGCAAAATAAAATCCCACAGTCAAATAAAAAAAGAACGCAATGTCAAGTTGAATGACTGAAGTGATAAATGGCAATTCAGTCTATATATCAGGCTAATAAAAAGTATTTTATCCTACAGTTGTAAAATCTAGACTTGTGGATTAGATAACAGTGGTGAGATAATATTCCCAGGCAGACAAATAAACCAGATGATTTGAGAGTTTACCAGTAAATCTTATTTCAGTCTCTCAATTCATATTGTTCTTATAAAGCTACTCTACCCAGAGTGCTGCACTGGGTCGGGTACTAGCGGGTAGCAATAAAAAACAATGTGTAACAAGTATAAAAAAATATGTTTATATACATTCACGGGTACAGCACAGGTAAAAAAAAAAAAAAAACTGAAAAAATGTGGGTGGGTAGCTAGTAAGAAAAGAAACTAAATTTAAATAAAGGTGCAGTTTCTTTTGAACATTTCATCCAGTATAATTTTATCAAGCCTAATTAACCAGTACATTTATTGTGAAGCCCTGGGGCACAACCTTTGATCTCTCAACTCACACCCAGCTAATAGGATGTCACTCAGACATCAACGTAGGCTAGTCATTGTGTCAAACTGGGTACCCTAAAAGCAAAAATTGTTGGAATACAAAATACATCATCAAAGGCCAATTACAGGAGAAATTCGGTGTGGTTTCAGACAGGGAAAACAACATTATCAGCAGCTTTACTGCTTGTAAATAGTGCCAAAAAGTGTTAGCATTTGATAACTGCAAGCTAGGCACGTCCTCACTAAAGAAACAGCAGCAGAGCCCAGGTGCTGTGTCCATCGACAGATACTTTTCTAAGAATGCAACTCTCAAGCACTTTAAACTGAGTGACTGTGTAGCTTAAAGACTATTTTAATTACAGGACAGGTCGGGTCGTGGGTCCTATGTTAAGGAGTTGGTCATATGCAGGTAACAGGTCGGGTCCAATACAGGGCCTTGCGGGTGCGGGGCGGAGTGGGGTTTCAAAATTGGAACTGTGCAGGACTCTGATTCTACCTAATTCCTTTTCAGACACTAGAGGGTCTAGTGAGACTCAAAACAAACTGACACCATAAGACACCCCTAACCACTCTTTGCCCCTCCCACCACGTCCTAGTGACAACATAAACTATGGATGTCTGATTGCGACAAACTGTACAAAATGCAGTGTCCAGTCCAAAGCCAGCATTAGCTTACTAATGAGTAAATTTGGCAATCTAGTAGCACTCTCTGGTTACTGCTGAAGTGACGCCACACACTAACTTTACACAAAGCTGGAATTACTCCAAAGTTAAAATAATATTCATTTAACACAAGGGTGAAATCATGACCATGCTAAATCGCTAATGTTATCAAAACAAACACATTAGCTTTAGATGTTAATACATCCAGAAGGACCAGTGCCAGTGAGTCCTTTGGTGGCTTTTAACATTTTCCATCTCAAAAGTCAAATCGGTGTTAACCCTGGTTTTTTGCACTCTGTGCAAAAGAACAAGAGCTCTTTGGACTGGCAACCACTGTGACTTTTAGCTGATGATTACTCCTCCATGGCTGGCTGTTTGAAATGACTGCTCATGGTTTGAAGTTCAAAGTGTTTAGTTGTCATATGCACAAAATGTGTTTCCCTGTACAATGAAATTCTTACTTTGCCGTCCACATGAATGCCACAAAATACAAATGAAATATAAAGTAGATAAATAAGTAACACAAAATCTAAGGCACTTTAAGCAGCAAATGCAGCAATATAATAAAAAATAATATATAAGAATATAACAGAGAATGTATGCTGTATGGGAGCAGCGCAGCAGTCATATGTAAATAATATGTCTGTCTTTTAAGCCGAGAGCTGCCGGAAAAAAATTCATTGTGCTATGCATAATGACAATAAAGAGTCTTGACTCTTGACTTGACTTTATTAGTTGGTCTTTGCACTGTGAAGGTTTGGTATGATGACAGAATAAATGTGTTTGATCATGTGTTTGTTCATCAGAGGAGCTGAACACAGTCTGTACAGGATCTTTACCACTCTCTGCAGGTGCTTGTGGTCCATAGCAGTAGTGCTGCCATACCAGACAGTGATGCAGCTGGTCAAGATGCTCTCAATGATGCAGCTGTAGAAGTTGCGAAGGATCTAAGGTGACATGCCAAACCTCCTCAGGAAGTACAGCCACCACTGGGCCTTCTTGACCAGCTGTGTGGTGTTAAGTGTCCAAGTGAGGTTCTCACTGATGTGGACGCCCAGGTATTTGAAGCTGCTCACTCTCTCCACTTCGAGCCCCTGGATGAACAGTGACTGATGAGATCTCCTCTCTTTCCTCATGTCCACTATCATCTCCTTCATCTTGTCCGTGTTGAGGCTGAGATTATTGTCCTTGCACCATGACACCAGACTGGCCACCTCCATCCTGTAGGCTGCTTCGTCCCCGCCAGTGATGTGACCTATCACTGAGGTGTCGTCCATGAACTTTAGGATGATGTTGTCTTTGTGGGAGGCAAAACAGTCGTGGGTGAACAGAGTGTACAGGATGGGACTGAGGATCCCTGTGGGGTGCCAGTGGTTGTAAGAATGCTGTCTGAAATCCTATTGCCAATCCTGACAGTCTGGGGCCTGCCAGTTAGAAAGTCCAGGAGCCAGTCACAGAGGCTGGGGGTGGAGGGTAGCCGCGATGGGGTCTGAGGTGGCCCTGTTGGGCCGGTAGGCATACTGCAGGGGGTCCAGGGTGTCCGGTATACTGCTCTGAATGCGGGCCAGCACCACTCTCTCAAAACACTTCATAATGATTGGGATGAGTGCCACTGGCCTGTAGTCGTTCAGGCAGGGGACCAGGCTCTTCTTGGGAAGGGGGACGATGGTTGTGATCTTAAAGCAGGTGGGAACGATGCTCTGGCTGAGGGAGAGACTGAAGATGGTGATGAGAACATCAGCCAGCTCGCTGGCACATGCCCTGAGAGCCCTCCCAGGGATGTTGTTCGGTCCTGTCGCTTTGCAGGGGTTGATCTTCCTCAGGACTGTGCGTACCTGGCTTGGTGAGACAGTTAGTGGAGGGGAGGTGGGGGGTTGGGTGGTCCCGGTGTGTGTGTGCCTCCTCTCTGTGTTGTGGCTGGAGGTCTCAAAGCGGGTGTAGAAAGCATTAAGGTCATCCGGCAGGCTGTGGAGCTGATGATGATGCTGGTGGTGGTCCTGTAGTCTGTGATGTGCTGCAGGCCTTGCCACATCCGTCAGCAGTAGAATAGAAGCCATTCAGCTTCTCTCTGTACTGCCTCTTGGCCGCTGTGATGGCTTTCCCCAGTCTGTACTTCGTAGCTTTGTACTTCATCTCATTGCCTGATCTGAATGCATGAGAGCGAGCATGTGGCGTACCTGACTGTTTATCCAGGGCTTCTGGTTGGGGAACCTCCTGACTTGTATGGTGGGCACAATGTTGTCAATAAAGGTACTAATGCACCCGGTCACATACTCAGCATAGTCATGTATGCTGACAGAAAAGTCCTCTGAGGTGGCTGCAGCTTTAAACACATCCCAGTCTGTCTGGGCGAAACAGTCCTGCAGGATCCTGCATGATGCCTGCCTGATTGAAAAGTAATCTATAACCTTCACTAGGTAGTAGACAGGGCTAATTTACAGAGAAGATTTGAGAACAGGCTGGAATAATAACAAAAGGGCTGCTGCGTGGGGGAATAGTAAACCTGAGAATCACCATATCATGCATCAGAAAATATGTAAAATCTTAGTTAATGTACCTTTAAGTCTGCAAAGCATGAGTATCTTGTGTTCTTTGAAGGAAGTCTCTAAAATCCTGCTTTGAAGTATGACATATTCGTGACTAAATTATCCATCTATTTGCTGTACCACTTAGTCCCAAATGGGGTCACGGGGGGCTGGAGCCAATCCCAGATGGCTGCGGGCGAGAGGCGGGTACACCCTGGACAGGTCACCAGTCCACCGCAGAGCTAACAAGCAGATGAACAACCACTCGCACACACAATCACTCCTACGGGAGACGCCAATCAACCTATGCTGCATGTCATTGGACAGTGGGAGGAAGCTGGAGCACCCAGAGAGAACCCACGCAAGCACGGGGAGAACATGCAAATGCACAGAAATGCCCTGGGTTGGCCGGGGCTCGAACCCGGAACCGTCTTGCTGTGAGGCAACAGCGCTAACCATTGTATCACTGTGCAAACTCGTGACTAAATTAGCAACAATTAAAAGTTAATGTTCAGAAAAACCCTGACCTTGTTATTACTATTTGTTAAAAGTGCAACTGTCAAAAACTCTAGTAATCTGCTTCACCAGGTTCTGTGTGGGTTTGATTTGATCTGAGCTGACAGTGATTCAGACATTTCCTGATTGATGTATCAAAAGAAGAGAAGACATCACGGCACAGATAAAAGCACAAGTGCACAAATCAGCCAAAGCTATTCTGAACCATTCGGTGTTCATTTAAGGCCTCTGTGAATTTAGATTTTTTAATTAACCATGACCTAATTAGCATGTTCAGATCACCTCTTGCGTATCTAACGGGCCTTTGTCTTTACCCAAAGGGATGGAGAGAAAGGACAAAACAAGGAAATATATATTGATTCACGAACCACCATAAAGCCATTACCTTGACAAAGCGATCTCAGCCTTCTGCCGGGCGATGTCAGTGGCCTTCTGTGCTCCTACCACAGCTCGGTCCACCTTTTCTCTGATCTTACTGGCTCGTAGGGGGATGAGGTTTTTCCTCTTCCCACTGACCAGAATGTTCTGCTTGTACTTCCCTTCCTCTTTTGTGCCATCAGGAAATGTAGTACAGCCGTAGCCATGGCGCTTATTGCTGAGCCATTCCCCCTCGTACTGTAGCCCATCGGACCGCCGACTGACACCAAATCCTGTCCGCTTGTCATTCTTCCACTCCCCACAGTAGGTCTCTGTTGCTGTGGCATCCACATCATCATCAGCAACTGCCAGGTCCGCATCTGCATCTCCGAGACTGGAAAGGTGAAAGGTTACATTGGTTTGACTGGTGAATTCAGTCCACAATCCTACATATTTCTCACAGTCGTAGGATATTTCGTAGGAAATATGTAGATATTTCTGAGTATAACAAGTTTCAAGAAGAACAAGTATAGCTTTGGCTACCAGGTTACTTGTAAGAACTCTACCATAATGTGACAAAGAGTGACACACAACAGTAGACGACTGACCTCACTCAACTGCACCACCTTGCCCTCCCAGTATCCACCCTCCAGCTTGAAACTAAGGTGATATATTAATTGCCTGATTTTATATCAGTACATTTTTTCAATGATAACCTGAAGAATTAGATGGAGAAAACACTAGGCTGATATCATTTGACAGAAATAGCGCACCTTTAGGAAAATATATTTATTTGCTTTGTCTCTGAGAGTGAGATGACAAGTGTTAAGTATGGAGCTGGTTTCAAAACACTGTTAGCCTAACTTAGCATTAAGCTACAGGGAGGGGAGACAGCTCGTCTGGCTCTGTCTACATTTTAAAAATACTAGTACTAATATTTATAAAGCTGAAAAAAAAAATCTTGTCAAACAGCAGTTTATCCACCCAGACAGTTGCACACCCAGGTGTGTTGCCAGATATGGTCAAGGAGTATGATTTGCTTTTGTTTCTGGCAACCTCACTAGTTTACATAGACTGCAATTGCACATGGCGCCCACCAAGGCGAATGTGTTTGTGCGTCCCCCCCTTGAATGCCGGCTTTTTCTTCGTTTTCTTCTTTTTTGTGTGTTTTTTGCTTTTACTGCAGTGCACAAATGTCATGCACTGCTTACATACAACAGACAGGCATTGCTGGATATCACCAACTCACAAAGCCACTGGGAATTTACTGGTTTCATACCACCGGAGCTACAACTCATTGTTCGCTCCGACAGCAACAACAACAACAGCAGCACCAATGGTGAGGACAGCCAACACCGTCCTCGGGGAGTCCCCAGAGCACCAGGCACAGGCGAGCAAGCTGAAATCAGGAGAGCGACCCGGAGATGGAAACGCAAAAGGGGCTGGCGAGGGGGACTCCATGCTAGGCTAAAAGCTCGCGCTACCCGACCACCATTACCCAGCCTCTTCCTAGCTAACGTACAGTCTCTGGAAAACAAACTGGACGAGCTAAGGGCTAGTATTACAGCACAACAGTAAATCAGAGAATGCTGTGCTTTAATTCTCACCGAGACTTGGCTTTCTGACAGAGTTCCAGACTCCGCAATTCAACTAGAGACTCACTCCATATATCGAGGAGACCACACTGCTGCTTCAGGGAAGGTAAAAGGAGGTGGTGTGTGTGTGTGTGTTCATTAATAACTCATGGTGTGGAGATGTACGAACTGTTTATAAGCACTGCTCGCCAAACGTAGAGTTTTTATTGCTGAAATGCCGGCCCTATTATCTAGCAAGAGAGCACAGTGCCCTGTTTCTTGCTGCTGTGTATGTTAGCCCAAGAGCTAATCCCTCTGCGGCTCTCAGTAAACTCTATGATGTCATCAACGCGCTAGAAACAGCGCACCCCGATGCTGTATTTATCGCTGCAGGTGACTTTAACCAGTGCAATTTAAAGACTTTACTCCCCAAATATTACCGACATGTGAACATTCCAACTCGGGGCAAGAACACTTTGGATCATGTTTACAGTAACATACGTGGTGCATACATGGCAGCACCCCGCCCCCACCTTGGATGCTCGGACCACATTTCTTTGTTCCTGTATCCAGCTTACAGACAAAGACTGAAACAAACAAACCCTGTCACCAAACAAATTAAACTCTGAACCCCAGAGACTGAAGGCATCCTGCAGGACTGTTTCGCCCAGACAGACTGGGATGTGTTTAAAGCTGCAACCACCTCAGATGACTTTTCTGTCAGCGTACATGACTATGCTGAGTATGTGACCGGATATATTAGTACCTGTATCGACAACATTGTGCCCACCATACAAGTCAGGAAGTTTCCCAACCAGAAGCCCTGGATAAACAGTCAGGTACGCCACAAGCTGCGTGCTCGCTCGCATGCATTCAGATCAGGTGATGAGATGGAGTACAAAGCTACGAAGTACAACTCGACCCCTGCAAAGCAGAAGGACCGGACAACATCCATGGGAGGGCTCTCAGTGCATGTTGCAGCGAGCTGGCTGAGGTTCTCACCACCATCTTCAATCTCTCCCTCAGCCAGAGCATTGTTCCCACATGCTTTAAGACCACAACTATTGTTCCCCTTCCCAAGAAGAGCCCGGCCACCTGCCTGAACGACTACAGGCCAGTGGCACTCACCCCAATCATGAAGTGTTTTGAGAGAGTGGTGCTGGCCCACATCCAGAGGAGTTTACCGGGCACCCTGGACCCCTGCAGTATGCCTACTGGCCCAACAGGGCCACCTCAGACACCATCGCGGCTGCCCTCCACTATTCCCTTTCTCACCTGGAAAATGGAGACTCTTACATCAGGATACTCCTCATTGACTACAGCTCTGCCTTCAACACAGTTGTCCCTCACAAACTCACCCACAAACTGTCCACACTAGGTCTGCACCCAACCCTCTGTGACTGGCTCCTGGACTTTCTGACTGGCACGCCCCAGACTGTCAAGATTGGCAATAGGACTTCAGCCAGCATTATTATGAACATTGGCACCCCACAGGGATGTGTCCTCAGTCCCATCCTGTACACCCTGTTCACCCACGACTGTGTCACCTCCAACAAAGACAACATCATCCTGAAGTTCGCGAACGACACCTCAGTGATAGGTCACATCACTGGTGGGGAAGCAGCCTACAGGATGGAGGTGGCTGGTCTGGGGTCATGGTGCAAGGACAATAATCTCAGCCTCAACATGGACAAGACGAAGGAGATGATAGTGGACATGAGGAAAGAGAGGAGATCTCATCAGTCATTGTTCATGCGGGGGCTTGGAGAGGGTGAGCAGCTTCAGATACCTGGGTGTCCACATCAGTGAGGACCTCACTTGGACACTTAACACCACACAGCTGGTCAAGAAGGCCCAATGGCGGCTGTACTTCCTGAGGAGGCTGAGGAGGTTTGGCATGTCGCCTAGGATCCTTTGCAACTTCTACAGCTGCATCATTGAGAGCATCTTGACCAGCTGTCTGGTATGGCAGCACTACTGCTATGGACCACAAGCACCTGCAGAGAGTGGTAAAGACTGTGGAGAAGATCACCAGGACTCCACTGCCCTCTCTGCAGAGCATTTACCACCGCAGGGTGCATAGGAATGTTGCCTCCATCCTCAAAGATCCCACCCACCCCGAGCACGGACTGTCCACCTCCCTACCCTCTGGCCGGAGGTTCAGAAGTGTGAAATGCAGGACCACTAGACTGAAAAACTCTTTCTTTC